TCTCTCTCTCTCTCTCTCTCTCTCTCTCTCTCTCTCTCTCAATGCGTCCCCTCCCCCACCGCTAACAAATGAATGGCTAGTGTGAAATCCCTGCCTCCCCTGTCCGCGGAACCAGTCTAGAAGGGAGGAGCGAGGGAGGCGGTGCGCTTCTTGGGATCTGCCCCCAATTGCTTGCTAAGGGCTTGCAGAACCCAGATGTCTAGGAATATGGAGTTTAGTGGTGGGTGTGAGAGCCCCCTACTGGACACATCCAGCACAGGTCGGGGGGGGTGGAACGAAGCCCCCAACCCAAGTGAGCCGCTTTCTCAGTGATTTTCTCAGAGGACCATAGTTTCCCCTTTAGTCATTTGTTTTCTACTTTGGAATCCGCGACGTAAATCTAGGGGGCTGGAAGGCCAGGAAAGGAGACTTTGGCTTTGTGAAGTTTAGAAGTACCTTCTCCCGCGTAGCTGGATTATGCGGCGAGTCTGCAGCGTGGGGTACGAACACGCGTGGCCAGGGGCGGATCCAGGTTTTGGGTGGGAGGCTTGATGCTAGATTTTGGGTGTCACTTTAGGAAAGGTAATATAGAAGGCCATAATTTTGGAAATTTTACTAAGGCTTATGACCACTTGAGCCCTGTGCTAGGGACCTGTCTCAGGTCATTGCCAAAGAAGGGCCCCTAATTCAAAGTTTAAATCCCGTCTACTTCACAACACATGACGAACGTGGAAATTCGGGAGGAGGGCGCTAGGAGGAAAAAGAAGAGAAGGGAAGGGGGAAGTGGAGGGAAGGGCAGAAAGGAACGAAGATTGGGCAGATGCACGCAGACAGCTTGGAGAGGACCGGCAGGGTTCCTCTCGAGGTATTAGACTTAATTTCGCGTCTTGATTTAATAGTTTTTTTTAATCCCACGAGCGACAAGAAACGCAACTGAAGCGGCGTGTGGGGATGTAAGGGTAGGGGAGGCATTAGCCCTGTAGGGCGGCTGTGGCTGTGCCCCCCCACACACACACACGCGCTCAGCCCGCGTGGAGGGAGTGTCTCGCCCGGCCCTCTTCGCAGCGCCGGAGTTCACCAGCCGCAGCCACGTGGGCCGGGGCTTCTTGGGCTCCAAGACAGCTAGCTCCCTTGAAGAACTCGCTGTGGGCTCCGCTTGGAGGCTGGCAGGCGCCTCCTGGGTCCCCGCCCAGAGGCTAGTGGGGGCGGGGCTTTGCATCTTCAGAGGGACAGGAGCGGGGCACGTGAAGGCGTGGCCCGGCTCTGCGGCGGGGGCCCCCGCAGCCACGCACAACGCAGTTAGGCGGCGGGGTGCTGCCAGAGCCGACCCAACTTCTATCCCGTCGACGCTAAACACTTATTAAAAATACAATTTTTTTTTCTTGCTTCTTTGTAGTGGTAGGAGGAGTTTTTACCTTGCTACAGAGAAGAAACAAAGATTTACTCCAAGCAAACTATTTTGGCAGAAAAATGAGAGGCGTTTATCCTGTGCTCCATATATTGACATTTTAGATACGTTTAGGTCGGTTTAAAGATACTTTTTTTTTTGTCAATTACAGGATAATCCCCTTGCAGACTGTCTTAAAGAGTTCGTCTGTAATGCAAATGGATTCCCATTTTTGACCGGGCTGATAGAATTCCATGAGTGCAAACATGAATGGTGCTGTGAGGGAGCCTAGCTGAGGTCCCTGTGCAGCAGCAGCCTTTGCCTGGGCCTGGCACATAGTCGGAGCTCAGCACATATTTATGAAACGACTGAGCCGGTGACATGGGAGAATGTGGCACAGATGAGATCCTGCCACTTAGAGCTGCCTTTTAAACTCAACTAATTCTTCGCTTTATCTTGGAAGAACAGTGTTTTAATGATCTCTTCAATCTCAAATTCTAATATCTAATTGATCCACTTTCCCTCTCTTTGACTCCTAAGAGCTGTGATGTAAATTATTGTTAAGTCCTGCTTGCTTGGCCATTGTGCAACTCTATCGTGAAAACAGTCACATAAAGTCCTAAAATAGGATGTTGTGAGTGTAATATAAAAATAGGAAGGTACCAGTGGAAGCAACACAGCTAGTTTTCTGAGATAAAATCTGTTCCCAGTTTGGGCAATATGTAACTTAAAATGTCAGAGCATTTCAAGCAGAAGGTCTTAGAGACTGACTCCTAGTTCTGAGCGCTGAGTAAAGAAAGATTGTATTTTACAATCGTATGTGCCTGCCTTGACTAATACTGCAAAGGGTTGCAATGGATTCCAAAGAGATTGAGCAATTACTTCCTCCAGCAGGAAGTCCACAGTCCTTCATCTTGTGGGTAGTGGGAAGAAGGATGCAGTCAAGACAATCCCTAAGGATTTTTTGTAAGAATACAGTTACCGTTTTGTTTTTCTTAGTAGATAAAAAAGAAATTAAAAGTTATTCTTACATGGCGGTTCCTGCTTTTAAAAATGAAGTTTAAAACAAATCCCCTTAGATTTATATATGTTTACAGACATAGGTTTCTACTTTTCCCCTGTGCTTACAAACTGGAGGGGGATGCTTTTAGTATACCAAGCTACCTATATCTGCACCCTTGTAAATTGTGTTTGGAAAGGACCTAAAAATCTCACTTAAGACTGAATATAATTGATATTGAAGATATAGTCATTGTTTTCTCTTTCCTCACATTATTATGCTTAAGTATTTTGTGGTTAATGATTGGTCACTAATTGAGCCTCAGAGCCTTTGAGAGCACAAACATCAACCAACACTGTCTCCCAGCAGTCATAAAACTAAGCCCTTTTCCTAGTGGGGTTTAAACATTTCTGTTGACTTTATTCAAGGGCAAACATCACTAGACACTGTATTTAAAATGGGATATTGCCCTGTGACTAAGCAGAACTTCTCAAGATACATGGTTCTTTTGATGAAAAGAATGAATGACTGTAGTAGGCTATTATTTTGCCACCCAACTAGAGAAACCAGTTAGGACTTACAAACCCTCATTGTTGGGGGTTACTAGCTCTGGTCTGAGAAAACAGGCTGATTGTTGCATAGGTCTGTACTTTACCCCAAAACACAAAGCCCATGCTCTCTCTGGTTTGGAATCAGAATAAGGGGATATAGAGGTAAATGTCTTGGCCAAGCTCCACTTCAATGAGTGAATTTTTGCCAGTTTCCTCTGGTAGCCTAGACTTGGTAAATTACACACATGCATGCGCATGCTCGCGCGCGCGCACACACACTCACACACACACACACACACACACACACACACACACACACACACACACTTTCTCCAGGGATTTTTGATTCTGCTAAGTTCTTATCATGGAATGTGTGCCAGGAGTGGTTGTATTTTTTAGTGGTTAGTGCAACGTATCTTTGTTTAGTGTGTTTGTCAGTTATGTTTCCTGAAACTCCTCTGGAAAGATCTATTAT